TGAGAAAAACGCGTTAAAAGAGCAACACCACTACAGCGGGCTATAAAGGCGGTTCCAGAATAGGTGCAAAATGCAAGGTGGAAATAAAAGTGCAAATGCGAACCAATGCTAAATGTATAGGAATCGCACTTGCACTTGGACTTGCTACCTGCATTTTGCACCTATTCTGGAACCGCCTTAAGAAGCATTTGTTCAATAATTTTTGTTAATGTAAGGAAAGGAAATACAGTAACAATATTTTAAGTACACTGAGAGAAATTTCTGCATAAAATAGTATTGAAACACTCAACGCGCTTCGCATGCCCTCTGTCGTGAGTTTTTGTTATGAAAACATACTGAATTCGCTCCGCAGTCATACCAAAAGAGCGTTATCCCTACGAAATGAGTATGTTGTTTTCACCAATGGCGTATGTCATATAGATGTGAAAAAAGCATGGCTACAGTTCATACTATTTTATGCAGAAATTTCTCTCAGTGTAGGGGAAGTGCGCCGGTTGTGGGCACGCTCCGGTTGTGGGCACCCCTACGTAAACTTCGACGGCAAGCAGACTTTACTGATATAAGTATTGCAAGTCGTGTTCGTTGACAATACGGACTTTTCGTATTGATAACGAAACAAATATATGCATTTGTGTAATAGCTGTGAGCATAATAAAGAAAATTTGCATTAAATAAATAAAAAAGTAATTTTGTATTGTATTCGAAGAGCAACATATGGGTGTAGATTCGTTCAGAAAAGAAGGGTTTAATTTTTTTTTTGCAGTGTTGTCATTATATTTTGTGATTTACCTTCGTGTTTAACCAAAATCCTGCATCACAAAATGTGTTGGTCTTTTTAAAAAATGACTGTCATTCCCGGTTGTGGGCACCTTTATGTTAAGGAGGCTCTACCATCTGACAATGATGAGGACTACTGTCTCATCTATCTAAACTTTCTGCCAAGGAAAGTGACAGCCGCAAACTCCATTAAATGCGATGAATATAGTCGTTCAGTGCATTAGAAGTGCGTTATGGTATGCGTACTAGCTACTTCACATGCAAGCATTATGCTTTTGTTAGCGATGAGCATAGTGTGAAAACGTGTCATCATTTTTGTTCTTTATCCCGGCAAAGTCTCTTAAAATAAAGAAACTTTCATTTCTTCTTTATTTGTGTTGGTTTCCTTTAATATTTTTCCATTTTTAGCGGATTTTTCAAGGGTGCCCACAACAGGGTACAAAATTTTTTTTGTCAAAAAATTCCCATTTCACTAAATTTCTAATAAAACTTTTTTATTTAAAGGAATCAATTTAATTCCTTCACTGACAGTAACCTTAGACCTCTAGCTTTAAATTCGTACACATATATTTGTATAATATGCACATGGACAAATGTTATGAGGCAAAAACAAAAGGGTGCCCACAACCGGAACACTTCCCTTAGTTATTAACTTATATATTCAACTTAAAAATTACAAATTTTAATTAATAAATATCCCAAAATGTCCGCACTGGAGCCATTTTTGTAATGCATGTTTTATGTAAGTTAAAATTCTTCTCCGGTAAAAAAGCTTGAAATTTCAATGAAATCGATTTCAGACATGTATAAATCCTCCCGTGTGGAAAAATATTGTGGCAGTCTAGAGTCCAATGATTTCCCGATTAGCAATCATCAAGTCCGTCTAATTCTAGACGGTCCATCAAGTCCCGAATCAGTGACTTAACAGATGGGCTTATTAGAAAAAATCTAAGTCAAATATGTCCGCCTAGTACGGTGTTATTAAGACCGTCTAGATTTGGTCTAGGATGTTATATGCGCATGCGTCGATGTATGCCCAGCTGTTAAGTAACATGGCGCCTAATGGCGTCGCGTCGTTTGGCGTCGTTAGATCAGTCAGCGTATGGTGCATTTTCTTTGTGAATTTTAGTATTCGTTGTGGTTTCTGTTTTATGTGAATAATAATGTGCTATGTTGTTGCTGTTTTCTGTATAATTTAATTTTAAATGTGCACTGAAAAAATAGATTTTGATGTGTTTCTATGTGTTTTGACTAGTCGGCTGAAGCTAGCAGTCGTACTCAGCATCAATGTTTAGGCGTCATCTACAAATATGCCTCTCCTTCAAATTTAGTAATACTTAATGATTTAAAAACCATCGAATATTGTTATTTGAGAATAAGTTGTACACTAAATAGCAAATTTAGTAAGTTTTTATTTATTAATTTCATTAATTAGTGGTTGACGCCTAAAGATTGGTGCTGAGTACGACTGCTAGTTTCATCCGGCTGTTTTGATTTGCAGTAAATTTTATTTTACAAAAAGACTACTATATCTCCAATGCCAAAGATTGGGAGGGACACAAAGCCTTTCGCTTAAAGAAAGTTGAAGTGAAAAATACAGAAAATTAAAATATTTTTTTATACTTTTTATGTAAAAAAAAGTCATCAAAATTATTTCAAATATAATTAAGTTTTATCATTCTAAGAATAGTTGTCATAACATATAATGAGAAATTTTGAATAGACGTAGATTAGAATTTACTAGCACTGCTGATCAGACCAGAAACCCCTTAAACAATTATTCTTAAATAATTGTAAATTAAAAAAAACAGGTATATTTTTTTCAATTTTTTACTCAAAATGCATTTGTTTATGCTTGGGATGAAACATCCTATACTCAGCATAATTTGTTTATGACTTTCTTATATTTTCACATAGAATCGATTAGCGTTAACAATTTTCAAAAGTTTGAAAGTTTTTTTAATTTGTTTAAACAATTGGAAATTAAATACAAAAAACAGGTCTTTCTTTTTTTCAATTTGCCTATGAATCCAATTGTTACTTTTTAAATAAAACATCTGATTTCTTCATGGGACTTAATGGGTATTAAATTAAATTTTATATTTGTTACAATTCTATATTAAAACTTTAGTTCTAAATTTTACTTGGTAAACTTTTATTTCACTAATTGTTTGGACATTTGCAAAAACTTTTATTTGGCGGAACTTTTTACATCAAAGATGTTTTTATTGGGATCAAAATACTTTTTGCATCATTAATAAAATTTTAGGGTATTTTATGAAACTGTTTAGTATTTCAGGCTCTACGTTTGTGTAAATGTCAAAAAATCCAATTTTTTTAGAAAAAATTCAAATATTTCAAAAAATACTTAATGTATTGGAGTTTTCTGGAACATATATCGGGATTTTAAAATATGAGCACGTTTTTGAGCCATATACAAGAGGAAAATATTAATTGAAATAAGAGAAATCTTCTTGAGACAAAAATATTTTTTCAGTGTAGGCTCTACATTTGTCAAAATTAAAAACAAAAATCATTTTGTCAAAATCGTATTGTTTTCGGAAAAATCAAAATATTTCAAAAAATACGAAATGTTTTAAAATTTCCTAAAATATATATCGAGATTTTAAACCAATTAATAATATTCCAAAATATTTACAAATCCAGTTAGAAGTTTAGTTTTCTTTGCTTTAATTCTATAAAAGTATCCAAAATATTGAATAACCTTATCATAATTCTTTCTTTTATAATTCTTTATCCAACAAAAAAAAGTAAGAATCCGACAGTAATCGGCCACTTGAAGCAATCTTTTTAATTAACACTATTTTAAAAGTGCAATTTATATTTTTTTTCGAATTCTTTTATGTGATGTTGTTTTTTACGATAACACAAAACTATTAAAACAATCATGTTTATAAAAAATAAATTTATATTCGTTAAAAAAATTAGTAAATAAACAAGTAAGAATACGACAGTGATCGGCCCACTGATCTCTATATTAACTGGATGGGCGATTGCTGTAGAAAAGTGGCTTCCGGTGTGAAAATAATTGAAACCCTCTACGCCACGCTTTAGATGCCGGTGTAACAGCGTAGAGCGACTTTGATTGTGTGAGTTGCCGTGTGAGTGTGCTTTTGATATAGAGTGTGTGTGTGTTTCCAATGTTTTGACATCTCAAGTGCTTTAATAATTTTAATTTAACTTTTGTGATATAAAACACAGACAAGGTGTTAATTTGTTTATATTGTGGAAAAAAAGAAGCAAAGGGTGTTTCTTTTCACATGAAAGTACATATTTAAACAGTAAATACATATTATTGAAGTGTATATTTTTAGGTTATATTTTGTCTCCTTTTTGCGTTAAATATTTTACACACTTTTGCGTATTGTTAAACACATAATAGTGTAATGCTGAATAATTTTAGTTTCCTTACCAAATTAAAAAAATATTGTTTTTAATCAATTATTATTTAAAAATAAAAATATTATTTCAATAATATTTGAGTTTATATAATGTTTGAATACTAAAAGTTCTGTTACTATATTAATTAATCAGTTTTTAAAATAAAATAAGTGAATAATAAATTATTTAATTAAGAAAGTAATTGACGGTTAATTAATTATTAAATTTAAAAAATTTGCTAATCAGTTAAGTACTTTTCTATACAGCAAAACGTATATCAATCTCACTTTTATATTTAAAAATTTCCGCCATTTGTGAAAAAGTGGGCATCTAAAATGTGGCGTTTCCGGTCTTCTAATATTTTGCAGTTTTAGATACAGTCGCCCATCCAGTTATATATACACTGAAAAACTGTTGGTAGAGCAGTTCCGCTATTGACTGTTGTGCAGCGCTACTTAACTTTAAGGTATTTGTCGCGTAAATTCGTTTTCGTCAGATTTTTTTTAAATTTCACATAATTATTCTTTGGATATTTATCTACAAAATAAGGCCTATTAAAATAAAATTGACCGTCTGTAAGTCTCAAAAAATGAAATCAAAGTTTCGATTTTTAACATGTAAGGTATAGGAAAACCATATGAAAACCACAGATTTTTAATTTTTGCACTTATACTAATCGTCAGATTTTTTAGAAAAACTAAAGTTTCATTTATTGAACCAAAATGAACTTTTATAAAAAAAATGAAAATTTTTCACCGTCTTGTTTAAAAGATATTTAACGTCAAACTTGAAAAATTATTTTAAAAATTACTGTAAATGACAGGTGAATTCGTAAACGTGGCAATAGCGCTTGTTAAATACTACAGCTTGTCTGCTACTTTTGGCGCGAAATTTTAAAGACGGCCATACGCCAAACTTGCGACGTTGCCACGATCGTTTTTCATGCGAGAGGTTATGAATATACATTGAGAACATCTGTATGTCAAACTGTACGTCCGCAAAAGTTTTTCGGAAACTCGCATTCATAATCGTTTCATAAGTACAGTCAACGGATACAAACTTTTGACAGTGACCAGTCGCGCGACAAATACCTTAAACTCACAGCTCTATCAAAATTAGGCGAGTTGCTCTCCTAAACTTGACTACCAATGGCGTTGGCGAGCGGCTGCTTGACAAAAAGGTCAGCAGCTCTATCAAAAAGGATAGTTGCTCGCCCAAAAAGGAGAGTAACTCGCCCAAAAATAAAGTGAGCTGTGCGTTTCTTTTTAACGCAGCAGTTCACCGCATTGGGCGAACAGCTCTACCAACAGTTTTTCAGTGTAGAGATCAGTGGATCGGCCACTTAAAAAAGCTTTCAAAAACCGTACAACATTTTTTTTCTCAATTACAAAAGCTTAGATTTCACAGTAAAAAGAAAATCTTATTTTAAGGCACGAAAGCTGCCTTAAATTAAGATGCAACATTTTTAAGACAGTCAATGTTGAATTTACGCACGATTTTCGTATCCTTTAACATTATAGCAGACAGTGTTGAATTTAAGGCAGCTCTTAAATCTGTGGAAGAAAGGCATAATAGCATAACTGCATTTGTCATGATTTCGAGATAAATTAATTTTAATGTTCTCTCACTTCTGTCAATTCAGAAAATCAACAGATTTGTTCGGTCTTTTGCATTTATAGTATTATTATTTAATATATTTTCAAAACTCTTTTATAACATTTAATAAAACACACGATTTGATATAAATTTTGATCATTTTTCATCGGAATCATTAGTTTTATTGCACTTATGCGGTTATGCAAGTTCAGATTGTATATGAGTCCAACTTCAGACACTTTTAATGTCACAATTTATTTTGGTTTGATTTATCATAATAAAAAAATTTTTCATACAAAGACAAATTAAACTATTAATTCGTTAGAAAAAATTATAAGAGTTTATTTAGTTATAAAATTTATTTTTTTATAAAATGTTTTTAATTTATTGAAACGAAGAAAAAATTTACTTTACTGTTCAACTTGAAGAATTTTTCAATTTATTTTTTGAAATACTTTCCAAAATTTTTTAGAATAGAAATACCCTTAAAAATTAGTACATAATTAAGGTATTTCTCCGGCTCCAGTGGAGCTCAATTACGACCAATGTTCTGTATGTAATAGAATTACCTCTCCCTCAAAAGGAAAGGTTGAGAACACTTTTCTCTTTCCTTTCCCCTCAGTCAAGCGCAGAAGTGCAAATTTCGTAATTGTGCGCAAGTTTTCATGATACGGCAACAGTGTGGCACAGCTGTCACGAGGCCTGTTCTTCTCACGGAGAACATAACCTTCATTTTTACTTGTTTAATTTCATGAATTTTATTAAAATTAAAATGTAAATAAAAACCCAAAAAAATAATAGATTTGTTTCAGTAAAAGTAGCAGGAAAAAATGAAAAATTCACCTCGACTGTGGAAAATGGCTAGACGTATCGTGATCGACATCTCATTTAAAAAGAAAAAAATATTTTCAGTCGGGATATTTTGGAAAATATAGAAAAATATAATTATTGACCCGCGCACGCGCTGCTCTCGGAAATTTTTATAAATAATAATTGAAAAAAATGTTTAAACATTAAAAAAGGGGTTATGAACGGTTTGGTATTGACTTCTCATTTTTTAGGTTTGTTCTCGCTAGCTACACTTTCTACACTTTGTACAAAAGTGTACACTACGGCGTTCTCGTTACTAGAAGTGACGCAATAGTGTACACCTAACTCCCTAGAAGCCTCTGCACTTTTCCCTATTTTATTACACCCGATTGCGAGCGAGTGTAATTGAGTGTTCTTATTAAAATGGCGGTAAATGGACATTTTATTTAAAATGCATTAATTATTTTATGAACATAAAGTTATAATATATTTCTTAGTGACTTTTAATTTATGAAATTATTAGTAAGCAATCCTTATTTTGTTAATATTTATATAAAGTACCACCTAAAAAACAATTGCCATTGTAAAGCAATTTTTAAATAATTATTCTCCCATTTATTAAAACCAAACTTTATTTACAGTGAATTTAAAAAATAATTTCTCAATTTTATGATGGTAAACATATTTTTTTTTAAAATAATAGAATTTATGAAAAAATTAAGTTTGAAAGATAACCTTCAGAATATTTCAAAACATGTCGCTTCCGTTTTTCTTGAAACTTATATGAAAATATAGCTTAAAAATTCTAGTTTTATTCTCTGTAAACATTATAATGAGCAATTCGGTTGAAATTAAGAAATTAATTAAATTTTACAAAGATGTCAGAGTTTAAACTGTGTAAAAATTTGAAAAAATAAATTCCGCTCGGTACATACATTTAACCTTCGAAATTCTTGTAAAATTTAATTAATGTCTCAAATTTTCATGAATTGCCCATTATAATGTTTACAGGGAATAATAGGAATAAATCCTATTATTTAAAAAAAAAATTTTACCATATCATAATTCATAAAACTGAGAAATTTTACTTTTAAAATCACTAATAGTAAATAAATTATGGCTTTAATAAATGAGAGAAATAATTATTTAAACAATTGCTTCACAATAGCAATTGTTTATAAGGTGGTTTATTTTGAATTACAAATTGTATGCAGTTTACAATATTAATCTTTTTTTTCATTTTTTCGTGCACTTTCTCTACACTTTTGCGTTCTCGCTAGATGTTGTACTTTGTTTAAGTGCGCATGCTCCGTTTCACACTCTTGCTACACTCGAGTGTAGCGGTGTAGTTAGCGAGAACAAACCTTTTTGAGAGAATCAAATATTTCGGGTTCATATTTGGAGGGATGATAGAGGAATTTTACTCACTGAGACGCGTCTCTCTCCGTTTTTGCAATAATTTTGCGAGGAAATTATGTCAGTGGAGTAATTTGAGATTGAGAATTAAATTTCGTTAGTTCAAGTCGCGACCACTTCCGAGAATTGACGCCACCTCCTTGACCACTGACACATAGATCCACTTGTCTGTGTGCTCACCGTCATATTGTCTCTCACTTTCGCCAAAATTAAAACTTTTTAACTTTCTTTTTCAATATATTTTTCAAAAATTACCTGCAAATTTCGAGAATATTCTTTATCAGAACGCTTCCCCCTAATTATCCTGATAAATCCTATAACGAGATATCAGAAAATAACGCGCTTAAAGATTTGATAGTAAAATATTATTTTCCATATTATTATTATTATTATTATTATTATTATTATTATTATTATTAATAATTATAATATAAATTATTTCAATTTGTAGTAATAATTTATAATTATTATCAAATTATCGTAATTAATATTATTATTATTATCACTTATTAATTTTGTTATTACAACAAGAAATTCAAAAGAGCAATAATAAAAACAGTAACAAAATTTTATAACTAAAAAAGTTTCAATAAAATAAATAAATATATAAATATGTTTGAAAAAAGAAAAGTTTTTTTAAATTGAATCTGAAAAAGTAATTGAAACGAATGTTAGTTTCGCGCCTTTTTGCAAGTGCTTTAAACGCAACAGTGTTGCCAAGTCGCGACCGCATGCTTTCCTTGCACCAGTAAATTCAATGGAAAATCACTTGAGTTTCGACTTTCAAAATACAATAATTAAAAAATGAGCATCGTTACCTACACTGAAATTTGTTTAATATTATTTCTATTCTTTATCCCTACAACATACTAGTTTTTGAGAATTATTTATCGAGTAGTTTTCTAGATATTAATAAAAATGTGTCACTTTTCTACGTTCAGCATATGATTCCTATGTTAAATGTTGAAACTTTGAAGCAAAATATCTCAATTTTTAGCATCGCAAGGAGTATTGAGTTTTTTATCACACATAAAGCATATAAAAAGGTACATTTTCCCAGAATTTCAAAAAATTCTATCGAAAATCGATTTGCCGGAGAAATACCTTAAATGCACAATTTATGCTATAAAAAATTTGTTCCAGTTTTATTAAAATAAATATATTTAATTTAAAGTACGAAAAATGTATTTTACTAAAAACATTTTATTACAAAATTCTTATTGTTTTTATTCATAAAGGTTATTTTCATTTTTAATTATGTCAATTGTTTTTTAAGCTGAATGCAGTTATGTTATTATGCTGGTCTCCTTTTGTCAAAAACGCAATTATGCGATTATGTTTTCCATTATTTTCTACATTAATAACCATTTTAATGATTTTTCAGCTATTGAACTTTGAAGAGCAATATTAAATATATACAAATCTGATGTTATCTCAAATTTGATAAAAATTTCAGTTATGCTGTTATGCCTTTCTTCCACAGAAATTAAGATTTACTTTTTACTGTGTTGTTTATGATCACCTTAGAAATGATTAGCAACAAACAAAATATTTTTATCTCATACGGTTTTATAGCTATTCAAAATTAAAAAGTGTCCGACTACTGTCTGGTTTACCAAATACACGGTTTTTAATTTTTACTCAGCGTCAATTCTCTACCACGAATCTTGATATAATTTTCTAAATTGTTTTTTATTATTTTTATAATTCTTTTACGTATGGAAATGGAAAAAGATTCATTTCTTTAACCCTTTAATGTCCAAATGTGCTGATTTTTAACTTCGGTTTCAAGCTTATAATATTAAAAAAAAAAAAAATTATTAAAAATTCTACAAGGACATGTCCATATGTTTTTGGGGTCGCTCTTTCGAATGGCATGGTCAAAATTTCCAAAAAGTGACGTTTATTAACCCTTATTTTTTTCAAAAATACTTGAAAAATATAAAATTTTGGGAAGTAATTTTTTTTAAAATCCAATTTTAGTTGTGATACCGATTTTTCCAAGCAATCTAAAGTTTAAAAAACGTATTCCCGATAGTTTTAGTTTAAAAATATGCTTTGCGATTAAAGATGTTTGGTATTCTTTGATTCTAAATGGCGGCTGAAAGTGAAAAATTTTCCAAAATTTAACACAGGATGGAAACAATTTTCCAAAGTTCTTGAAATCGCTTGAAATCTGTTACTCGGGGATTTTCGAGGTCGCTGATTACGAATCTGAAGTCAGATTTTAAAAATTCAAAATGGCGAATCCAATATGGCGAACAATAAAATTAAAAATGCATAGTATTCGTTTGAAATTTGTTACTGGGGGGTTTCCGGGGTCGCTGATTACGAATCTGAAATTAGATTTAAAAAATTTAAAATGGCGGATCCAATATGGCGGACGACAAAATTAAAAATGCATCGCATTCGTTTAAAATTTGTAACTTGGGGGTTTTCGGGGTCGCTGATTACGAATTTGAAGTCAGATTTAAAAAATTCGAAATGGCGGATCCAATATGGCGGACGACAATATTAAAACTTCATATATTGGCTTCAAATTTGTTAGTCGGAGGTTTTCGGAGTCGCTGATTACGAATTTGAAGTCAGATTTAAAAAATTCAAATTGGCGGATTCACTATGGCGGACCACAAAATTAAAAATGCATCGTATTTACTGCTCATGCCCTGTTAAATATTCTAGCATACGATAACGTCCTTGTAGCTAATAGGATGAAGTTTTAATTTTATCATCCAGCTATATTGAATCCGTCATTTTGAATTTTTAAAATCCGATTTCAGATTCGTAATCAGTGATCCCGAAAACCCCCGAGTAACAAATTTGAAGCCAATATATGAAATCTCTCGCTCAGATTATCTCACATTCCGGAAAAATCCCAGGCTAATGGGCGTGAACCAAGTACCCTTGGTCCTACAGCATCCGCCGAGCGAGGTATTTATCCGACTGAGCTAATCTGTCGGTTTAAAAGGATATCATATTAAATGCTATTTATGCTATATAAATTGTATGTTTAATGAAATGTATGTCAAATAAATTGCAAATAAAATGTTTTTTATACGAAATAGATTTTTTGTCAAATGAAATTTATGGTAAATGGTTTTATGTCAAATGATTATTATTTCAAATAAGATTTCCGGAATAATCATGCCTCTCTCAATATCATCCTGGAATATTACTTCGAAATTACTGTGGAACATTCTCTCAATGTTATTTTGGAATATTCCTGTGGGGCGGACATTTTAATATTACTTTAAGATCCCTGGAACATTCCACTAGAATATTCCGAATATGAAATGTAATATTCCCTTCATTTTAAGGTTATATTTTGTGCTGCTTGGGTATAAGCAAAACCAAAATTTTGTCGGTGCATAGAGCCATGGAACGCCCCATATAGCATTTTAAGATGATTCACATTTTGGACAAGTTAAAACCTACAATATTGGCTGGTTTTAATAAAAAATTTAGGGGGAAATGGGTCAAAAGTACCTACTAAAAGATGGGCAAATATTATTTTTAAAATATCTTTTTTATTTTTTGTGTATAACAATTTGTGTTTAAAGATTTTCAATGCGATAAGAGCAATTGTTTAAAAGATAAAAAAACACAAACTGTTAGAGGCAAAAAAGGAGATATTTAAAAAAATCCTTTTTTCCCCACTTAATGATAGATCGTCCAACGTCCTTCCGGCAGGACGAAAAAGACTCAGGTGAGTCCCTCCGAAATCACTAAAGAAAACTTACATGGATTCAGATAAATAAAAAATGAAATATATCATTAGAAAGGTGACGAATCAAGCTTTCAGCGCATATAAATATCGAGCTTGTAAGTTCAAAACTAAGGGCTGGGTAGTTTGAAGAAGTTCAATTTTCCAAAAAT